AATGTTCCCTACCTGTAGTGTCATTTCTGTAAACACATCACCACTATATACACTCAAATCACCACCACACATACAAACACCACCCAATACCTACACCAGTGCTTTAAAAATTCACTTATAAGCAGGGCTGGGCGATACATACACATCGTATTTTCATAATGTATTGATGCTGGCAGTAAAAAAAAATGAGGCAATGTTGTAAACTGATACACATGTCGCAAAGATTTAATATAGTAATAATTAAAAGATGAGGTCAAATTAAATGTAAATACGTTACCTTTGATCCTCAAATGTACTGTGTGTGCTCCCTATGAAAGTTTGCTTGCAAAAGCATTGACGTCAAAGTATTTCTATCGCAAAATGTTTGCAAGCAACCATAAATGCAGAGCATTTTTTCTCTAATCTGTTTTGTTTTAGAATAACTGTCACTTTTAAAGCTTGTGTAAGGGTTAGTTCACCCAAAAATGAAAATTTGCACACTATTTACTCACCCTCAAGTGGTTTTAAACCTGAGTTTCTTTTTTTCTGTGAAGCATAAAAGAACATATTTCAAAGAACTTTACAATCCAGCAACTACTGAATTTTTAATAGTAAGATAAACAAATACAAGGGAAGGTCAATGGGTAAAGATTTATAGCTTTCTTTAAAATAGGGCTGCTAAATATTTCAGCATTGATACTGTGATGTGATCATTCGCAATAGTCACACCGCGAATATATGCAAAGTTGAGTATGGATTATAATTTAACATTTGGCAAAAGTTTTTTTGAGGCCTGAGACTGTGTGAGGAGTTTAAAAGCGTTCAGGCATGACAAATTATACCATTAGTAACTTTTTTTTCAATTTGTAATTAATTTTTATTGAATTATTTATAAAACAAAGACTATGCAGTATTAATTTACATTTGATTATTGAATTACTGTTTACTTGAGTACTGTTAGACTTCTCTGAAAATAATAAAATGCTGTTTATTTTATTCGTATCTTTCCCTTTATTGAATTTAGCTATGCTTGTAGATTGTTTATTAAATTTTATGCACTCGCTTAATCATCCCAATCAGTCTAAAATTATAAATTCTTCCCATATAGTTATTCAAATACTGTGATGAAATTGTATTAATATCGCAATATTTATCGCAGGAAAAAAATACAATATTAGATTTCTTCAATATCACACAGCCCTACTTCAAAGTATCTTCCTTGGTTTTTGACTAACAAAAGAAACTCAAACAGGTTTGTGACAAGTGAAGGGTGAGTAAATAATTACAATTTTCAATATGTAATAAAATGATTAACATATATAAAGTTAAAAACCATGTGGACAGCATAACTTGATTCTAACTGGTTAATATGACACGTTAAGATGTTTGTATGTGTAACTTATATATCACCTAAGTCTGGGAGATTAATCGAAAATGATATTCATTTACATCTTGTCAGAAAAGTTTGATTGTATTACACCTATACCACATGCTTTCATATAAAGCAGCGTTAAAGAGTCGTAGTTCACTGATAAGCTACACAAAAATGGTTTTTAGTATCAGATTTGATTTAATCTTGTGAGAAAATCATTCTGTGACAGCTTTTAGTGTCTCTTCAGAGAAAACAATGGCTCTGTGTAGTAGATGCTAATGGAAAATGACATGCGAAATAAATCCTTCTGTGACATGATTCAGTATTAGTGTATTTATTTGTTACTCTTAATCAATGAAAGCTGTGAAATCTTGTTTATGATCCAACACCATATATATTTACATTAGATGTCGCCTACGCTATTGACTGGCCATCCGGAGCCAGAGATATGTATACATTTATACATATATCTATGATCAGGGGCCTCATGTACGAAGACTTGCGTGGAAATCTTACTAAAACATTGCGTACGCACAAAGCTGTAAATGTGCGTACGCAGAAAAAAATTCAGATGTATGAAACACTGCGTACGCCCAATCTCTTCTTTTGTACATCTGAATGAACGTGAAACTGAGCTCAACACGCACGAGCACAAAACGCCTCCGTGGCTCCCCCCCTGTATGAATATGCTAATGACTCTACTTTGGCAAAACCCAACGAAAAAGCAAAGGCAAAAGCAAGCAAGAAGAGAAACTTTGAACAGAATGAGAATTGGAGGTGCTGCTTTCGGATGTAGACCGGAGAAAAGCGGTGTTATTTGCAAGTTTGTTCTCCGGAATTAACAACAAAAGAAAAAAATTGAGTGGGAGAGTTTAGCTGATGCGGTTAACACAGTTGGGTCTAAACATCGCACTGAGTGAATTAAAAAAGAAATAGTGTGGTTTATATGTGTAAAATGTTGCAATGCCCTTAACAGTCTCAGTGGCGCAGCTTGTAAGATGCATATCAACATGTTTTGACACGTTCGAGCATGAACTCAGTTCGAATCCCGCGTCTGATGAACTCTTTCTTCTTTTTTCCCCCGCTACATATTAGATTTTGCCAACTATTTATCACGAGAAAGACAAGTAGGAATCATTAACAAGTGTGTGCATCATATTTTATTTGCACATGTATTGAATGGTAATGTTTCTGATTCACGTATGCAAATTCATCTTCAGATAGTGTCTTTATAGCAACGTGCGTGCAGTACATAGCTCAGATTACATTGGGAAAACAGGCGACCGCTGCAAATTGCGCTTTAATGTTTAGCTGGTCAAATGTATGGTATGGAAACCTTATATACCTGCTAGATGAACCCGTCTCATACAGCTGCCATTGCAAGGCTCAGACACTTTGTAGAGAGGAATTTAACACAACTGCCTCTAGGAGTCGCCAATGGAAATAAAACACACGCACAAAAAATGTGCGTACGCCAGCCATAAAGCTGCCGTGAAGCTGCGCACATTCCCACGTTCAGTTCATTGTTAGTAAATCCAAACGTGAGTGATTCTGAGTGTGAAACCTGGCGTATGCAAAGTTTTTGTGCGTACGCAGCGTTGATACATGAGGCCCCAGGTGTTTTCACTGTGGTTAGTACAGATTTTTTGTTTTATTTTTTCATTTTTTAATTGCAAAAGTAAATCATTTTACATCACTGTTCTACATTAATGGATTAGCGACTTTTGCCGACAGAGCGTGTGTTTGTGTGCATGGAAATATATTATCCTACCTCCCGGTTAAATTTGACCTAATCCGTGTCCTAAAACACTTTCACTTTTTCACTTTTAATTCTTATGAAGGGAGTGATTCGTTTGTGAATGCATCTCCATTAAGAACAACTCATGTGAACCATTGATATCCCTTCGACTCAATGTGCATATCCACCTTTCTGATCTACATAGTAAATAACATTTGTAATATTTAATAATTCATAGTGGAAGGTATGAACATTGAGGCGCAGACGCTGTTATGTTATCAGACACCCTTATAGGTTACTTCAAAAACTAGCGGTACTTCACTTAGACAATAAAAATACAACTTTCCGGCACCGCAACGTCTTGTTGTCATATTTCACTTACATTGTTTGCTATTTTTATTGAACAAAACTAGCATAAGCCTAGTATTTAGTGTGAGTTGGTGCTAGTTTGCCTTATGGTCAGTGCGATAACTGACTGTATTATCATCAATAACTTTACTTGTTTAGCACAAAAGTTTGTACCATACAAAAACGTAAAACACAAAATCTTACTTATGTAATGTTTTGCCTTTATGCTTTGATTTCTGATTACTACACCTGTACGCAGAGCAAAAGTCCAGCATCTTCAGATTAGCTTGACTAGTGAATGGCTTTTGTGCAGGGAGCACTGTACAAACGTGGCGGCGGTATCGACACATGCTCAGGGTCTGTTTGCGATCGATATCTAGTGTAAATATCTATGATGTAACACTATACGCTTGTTAAGTGTGACATCACGCAAAGCAGCTTTCGGGTCCAAACACTATATCAAACTGTATGGGGAGACTCATCAAATGGTAATAATAAACATTTACAAAGCACTGTAATACTTTCGAAAATCATGGTTGCAATATATATATATATATATATATATATATATATATATATATATATATATATATATATATATATATATATATATCCATGTCTAATATCCGATAGCCAGAAAGTGATTCATTTGTTATAAATTGTTAGAATTTTGGTATTTGTCATGCAGCACGTCTAGAGACTGTTGTGTACACCATGATTTTATATAAAACTCAATTTAATATGTGATATGATTAAAGCACGATCATAAACAAACATTTTCTCAATTGAAATGAGTGGCGGCTTGGACCCGGAAACAGTTCATTATGCGTCACCGATACGTCACGACTTAAACCGATTGAGTTTTCCTGGATTTCTTCTTCATAAAAATTGTTGAAGTTTCCATGATTTGAAGCATCCTCCAGCCTTCAAATGAGATATAATAACCATTACACCAGGGCTGCTCAATCCTGTTCCTGGAGATCTACCTTCCTGCAACACAGCTGAGCTCTCACACCTGAACCAATTAATTAGGACCTGAACAGCACTTGATAATTACAGGCAGGTGTGTTTGAAATGGGTAGCAACTGAAATCTACAGGAAGGTAGATCTCCAGGAACAGGGTTGCGCAGCCCTGCATTACACCATGGCTCCCTGACAAGATGACAAGATGTGCATGACAATTGCAGCATTTCTCAATTCGATTAATCACCCAGGCAAAACATCACCCAGCCCCACTTTTAATCCCTTCATATTTCTTCCATCAATCCTCAAAAGGACAAATACTGTAACGGATGTAATACTATGTGGAATACTTCATGATGCGTGCAAATGCAGATTTTACAGAGAAAAAAAAATACTTACGTTTGGCATTGAGTAGTAGTTTACCACACTACTAAAATGAAAACCTATTTCTGTTTGTTTCCTTTTACTCCTTTAAAATAAGAGCTAAGCCACAGAACTGGAAATGTAAAGCACTAGAGGTCAACAGTTCATAGCAACAACTTCAAAGCCACTTGAAATCCTTCGTAAAAGAGAGAACAAGAGTAAATAAGACAGCACATGCTTTAGGGAATCATTATAGTGGAGATAAGACAAAATGGTCCATTATTCTGTCTTGGGACAGGGTCATATCCACGCCGCAGGTCAATACAGTGCATTGCTTCGATCTCTGCACTGTGTGTTCTGTGCCATACCGTGCAATTTATACAGCGACGGGCAACACAGTGCAATGAAAGTCACAGTATGTAACAAAGTAACCTCGCAGAGAAAACATTAAAGGTCCCTGGAGGAAACAACTTGCAAATTCAATGTTTAAGCATCTTTTCTTTAAGCGATAGTTCGTCCAAATATGACAATTCTGCCATAATTTACTCCCCTAAGGTTATTCCATCCTTTATCAACTTCTTTGCTCTGTTGAACACAAATATTTGGAGGATATCAGCAACGAAACTGACCTTGCCATTGATTTACTGCCATAGTTGGAAGAATAAACGTAAATGAGCATAAATGTGTGGCAATATCTGTTTGGTTTCTGACATTCTTCTAAATATCTTTCTTTGTGCTCAGCAGAGTAAAAAGAAGTAGGATTGGCTAAACATGAGGCTTAGTAAATAGGAGAATTTTAATTTTTGGGTGAAGTATACCTTTGTTTTAAAAGATGAGTCCACCCAAAAAACAATAACTTGTTATTTATTACTAACACTAATCCAGAGATTAATCTTTATCTTCAGAACCCAATGTAAGATACTTTAGATTAAATATGCTTTAACTTTCTTCACCTAGAGTTCCTTTACTGAAACAAGGATGGAGGATGAGGGAGCTCTCAGATTTCATCTAAAATATCTTAATTTATGATTCAAAGATCAACAAAGATCTCAAGGGATTGAAATGACATCAGGGTGAGTAATAATAACAGAATTTTCATTTTTGGGTGAACTTACCTGTAATATTCTACCAAATAAGACATTTCATTTATGTGATTAGGCCCAACCTAGTCAAATCTGAACTCTATTTTTTTTAAAGTGGAGTTAAAGACCTACGTATAAGTGTTTCCAGCGTTCTTGAAAGCATCCCAGCGTATGCTCCTAAAACTAATACCAATTAAATTTGATAGTGTTCCTAAAGTGGTGTTTTCTAGAGTTACACGCGACCGACCTTTGCGTCGCCTATGGCACCCCACACATCAAACACAAACTCATCTGGAAAAGCAAAATCGCCCAGAGTCTCGTCCAAAGCTTCAGCAAACTCATCTGGGTTCTTTTTATCCTTGCCAAGCTCCACCATTGTCGCAGCTGTAAAAAAACGTGAAGAGTTATAGAAGAGGCTAATTAAAAAACATACAAAAACAGGAATATGCATGGAAACATACCAAGTTCACTGTCTCTGATGCCCATGTAGCTCTCCAGGAGATCATCAACTTTCTCAATGGCTTTTTCTTCAAAAGCTGAAGGCTGAAACACAAAGAAAGAATGAATATTAGACATTCTCTTGCTTAAATGAAATTTATGGCTGATCTGAACTGTGCTGATCTGAAATAGTTTCTTTTTATTATTATTATTTCTTTTTCTAAGGGATTTTTTTAAAGTACCATATACAAGCGACTAACGACCTCAGAGCTCATAACACAAGGGGGTCAAACTCAATTTGTGGAGGCCAGCAGCTCTGCAGAGTTTAGTTCCAGCCCTGCATCAACACACCTTAGCTGTAGGTATCAAACAAGGAACTGAGTTTGATACCCATGTCATAATAGTTCTGTCTATAATTTTAAACAATAACCTATAAACCTTTACTGTCCCAATGAAGAAAATTAATATTTTAAAATTCTAAAACCCAATTGGTTTGTTTAGTTTACTACTGATATGTGACCCAAAGAAAATCAAACAAAAACCCAAAAAATCAGTCATAAGGGTTCATTTTATGATATTAAGATTCATATATCATTTGAAAGTTGAATAAAAAAAGCTTTCCATTTATTTTGTTACAATAGGACAATATTTGGCAGACAACTGATTGAAAAATCTGCCTTTTAAAAGCCCTTAAATTTGTGCAAATAAGGTGCTCAAACTAAGATTAACAAAAAAAATAAGTTTTGGCATTTACAGTAGGTCTTTATGGAATATGATTTTTACTCAATACTCTAATGTGATTTGGCATGAAAATAAAAATCAATAATTTTGACTCAATGAATTGTTGGCTTTTTCTACGTTTAAGTTTTGCCAGGGTTACGCCTTCTGTCCACAGTACCCCAGAGTTTTTAAACTCTGAAAACAGGGCGTTTTGGAAATGCTGAAGAGGCCATTTTAGTTTTAGAACACTGCTGCTCTGTGCCAGTGTGGATGCAGAAAGAGGAGACATCTGAAAACAGATGTATATATATACACACACACACACATATATATATATATATATATATATATATACACACACACACATATATATATACAGATGTGAATGAACAAGCTTCCACGAGTAAGAATGCAGACGAAAACGTTGATAAGAGGGGAAAGACTAATGCAGTGGTGTGGAAGTGGTTTGGCTTTTTAAGTTTCAATAAACTTTTGGTTTCAGTGCTCTGCAGCTTCAAACCAGCGGTGTCAAAGAGAAGGCAATGAAGCAAACACAGATGGCTATAAGGCGCCGTTTAGGATTTATATCAATCTTTGCTCATTAACACATTCATTACATGTGCATATACACCTATACTATTAATTGTTCAAAACATTTATGAAACTTGCACATATACATATAAACTTGATTTATGCATACAAACGCACGTAGATATAAACTCGATCCTTGCATAAACACCCACAATTATGCACTCATGTACAACTCGATCCTTGCATATACTTGATCCTCACATAAACACCTAAATTAACACTCACACACACACAAACGTGCACGCACGCACGCGCACACACACACACACACACACACACACACACACACACACACACACACACACACACACACACACACACACACACACACACACACACAAACTCGCTGTATGCTAGCATATAGCACTCGCGCAAACATACAAAATAAAATTCACAAATATATTTATCAGAAATCTAATTATTGCAGAGCTGATAAAATAGAAAGAATGTGATTAATAGAGGTATTACATATGTTAAATAATGAAAATGTTTTATATGAAATAATATAAAATATTAGTCTATAAATAGACTATATAAAATATATAAGAAATATTTAGTTTATTTGGGTTATTATACAGAAATATAAATAGACAGATAGAAACCCTTAAAGGACGTTCAAGATGAAAAGCAACCGGAACTATGAATGTACTCAAACAATTTTTTTCTATTGCAAATATTAATGTAGCCTATACTCTTTTTGATTTTTTAATTATTATAATAATTATTCTTTTTCTGCTTTTTATCTGATGTGGATGTCATAATTGTAAGATTTCTGTATTATTTTGATTGTTAAATATTCAGCATAAACAAAACAAACAAAAAAAACAAACGCTGATAAAAAGTTTCTGTTCATCACGTTGGTCAAGCTGACCCCCACAATCTCATTCATTAATTCATTTATTCTCTTTTCAGCTTAGCCACAGCGGAATGAACCGCCAACTTATCCAGCAGGTTTCTACGTAGCAAATGCCAGCCGCAACCAAACCTTGGGAAACCCCCACGAACTATCTCTACATATTTAATATATATGAATAATATATATATATATGAATTATATATATATATATATATATATATATATATATATATATATATATATATATATATATATATATATATATAAGCTGAGTCTGAGAGTTTTATTTATTTGATAGTTTGTTTAACATTTCTTAAACATTTCTAAATACATATAAAAAGTGAACATACATTTTTTGTACTGTTTATATATATATATATATATATATATATATATATATATATATATATATATATATATATATATATAGTTTTAAGTTATAAGAGCCTGGAGGTATTATAGACTTTGCAAATTCAGTTTTCAGACATTTATGGGTATAGAAATCTATTGTGTGCATTCTTGGCAGTTTTTTACTGGCTTTTTAATATTGTCCATATCGATATTGGAATTATATCGTATCGACTAAAATTAAGAAATATATATTGTCATATAATTTTTTCCCATATCGTCCAGCCCTACGAAATATAAATGTTTACAATACAGGAAATAAAGGCAAGCAATCAGTCAAATTGTGCAGAATTAGTGTAAGCGTTAAACAAATTAATATATTAACTTATCTGCGCTCAACCAAAAAATGTTACCTGAGAACAAATAATAGATTCAAAAAACCAAAGAATCGTTAGAGTCAAGATGAATGAAATATCACGCTTACAACTATAGTGAGATGAGATCCAGTGGTAGATCCTGGCTGAACTGTTCGATGTGCGCTGCTCTCACCTGGGGAGGTATGCTCAAAGCACCCACTGACTGCCTGGGGCTCAGACGTCCACATACACTGCAGCACGTGCAAGAGTGTGTGTGAGGTCACGTGATGTGCGTTTTCCGCGGTGTAGTGTGGATGGAGATCTTTTCAGAAATACTTAAGGAAACGCCAGCGGGACATAGATCATTTTTGCTCTAAAACTCAGTTTCCAAACTTAAATGTATTGTTGTAAGTGGGACTTAAGACTGGTTTAGCGTGATAAATGTATAGCAGAATAGCACAACACAGATGACGCTTTGCTACTTTTGTTAAAATAGAAGTTTTGTAAAAATTAGGAAATTATTAAAACTTCTAACCAATCCATAATCTTTTGCAATGATGACTGCAACTGATGTATAGAGTTATGATACAGCTGCATCGTTTCCATTTTTTCAAAGGTTGTCTTTGAATTTGAATTTAGGAAAAACATTTTTTTTTCTCTAAAAACCTTTGACTTAATCAATGTCAATGCCATTTCTGAAACATTTCTAGCCTCAAATGCTAGGCTGTTCAAGAATTCTTTCCTGTTTTTGCAACAATGCTTTTATACATCACAACACAATTCTCACCATACTGCTCACACACTTTTTAAATGATTATTTTTAAATTTATATTTGCCACAATGTCAGATGTCCTTGAAATTAACCACAATCCACTTTTATGCACAGTAAATCATATATTTTAGTGTGTGTCATATTGTAATTTTTTGGTGACCCTTGAACTAAAACAGTGTTGAGCCATTCATTCTATCTTACCAGCTCCTCTACAGTGGCCGGTCCTTTAGACCTCAGACGCAAAGTTCCTCTGCCCGTTCCTAACTGTGCAGAGCCAGACCTGCTTCCTGAACGCTGACTGATCATGTCTGAAGAAAAAAATGTATTTATATATCAAAATGATCATATCAATTTCCCTGCAAAAGCCGACTTCAACAACAAGATACTGGAACACTTACCAAATGCCTTTAAGGGTTCCACCATCTTCAGGAAAAAAGTTTTCCCTTTAGGCAGCTCCTTCAGCATTTTGGCGACCTCATAATGGCGACAGCCAATGAGTATTTGCCCGTTGATTGACTCAATCATGTCGCCCACATTGATAACTTGGATCTGGTGAATAATACTGCCTTCTCTTATTCTCTGCAAAAGAAACAGATGGTTTTCAGATGACTGCAGCAGACCCACCAGAAGGTATTTAAAAATACAGTTTTAAATTAATGTGATCATCAAAAATGTATTATAAAATGATCATTAGCTAAAACACATTTCTGCTGAATTGCCAGCAAATAACTACATTCCAAGTCTCAATTATTGGTCAAAATGCAGTAAATAAAACTACGGTAAACAATACGGTACATTTTACAAGTAAAATGTGATCAAGTCCTGTGAGTAAAAATGTTAATTTCAGCATCATTACTCTAATAAAAAAAACATTTTTATTATTGTTGTAGACATTTTTTGAAAGTAAATTTTATTTATTGTTAAAAATTATTATTTGGCATTTTGTTTTGTTTTTTGCATTCAATTTGAATGTCATAAAGGCATGGAAAATGGAACCGCAGTAAGCCAGAAGACGCACGGAAGTGGTTGGACACATTTGGACCCCTTCATGTATTGTTTGGTGATTATGTTTTTTCAAACTAGTTTTATTTGAAATATTTTTTTTACTTAAATTGAATGCATTTTTGTATGTAAATGACGGATTAAATAAACAAGAGAATCAAATGAAAGCAAATGGAGTGTGTCCGAAAACAAAGCCCAAACCACACTTTCACATCCTTAGCCAAAATGACAGAACAATTATTGGTAACACTTTAATTTTATGGTCCATTTGAGTGCAAGTAGACTGTCTGCTTAATATCTGTTGATAAACAGACATTTAACTGACTATAAGAAACGTTGCAAGTACATGTCAACTTACACTAACCCTAACCCTGACCCCAACCTAAGAGTCTACTTATAATCTAATGATAATTAGTTGGCATGTAGATGCAATGTAACTTTAATTCAACAAACATACTATCAACTGCTGTATTTACGTGGAAACCTTAATAGTTTTTTGTAGAGTCTCTATGAAGCCCAAGTAAACAACAGCTACTTGGAATAGATATTATTCTTTCAATTATACCATCAGAATTTGATAAAATATATTACAGTTTTACTGGAAGCTCAGATCATTCTTACCTTAATAAAAGCATAGCCAGCTCCATTATCAGTGATGGTGAGCCCCAGTGCATCCTCTCCTTTAAAGACCTCCACCTCTTTCCTTTGGCCCTTCACATGAGCGAATATAAAGTCCTCCAGTCCGATCTGGCCACCCAAAAGCTTGTCCATATCCACTTTGTGAGTGTTCAGTGTGCAAAACATCACCTGAGAACAAATGTAGGCATTTAGTTGACATATTTAACTAGGCTTGCTCTTATACAGGGTTGGCCAATTTTTTTACAACTCTAATTTAATTACCACCGTGTTTGAAATGAGCTATACAAAAAAAACTTGCCTTGCCTAATAAAGGGTTTGAACACAGGTTTCTTAAAATGTCTTGGAAAAGCTGTCAAGATTCTCCTGGGTTTAATCGGTCTCGGTTTGTTCTATTTTTTTCCCTACATGATGCTGAGATCAGATTTCTGTGTGGAGCACTGGCTGCAGTCAGATTCTTTGTGGCTTATACATGCAAACTTACTGAATTATCTCATTGAATTACAACAAATACAAGTAAAATTTATATTTGGAATTGAAAATGTAAATTGCTAATTCCTATAGGGCTGTACAATATATTAAAAAAGTAATCATTATGCAACGACCATAGGCAATATGCATATCACAGAGAGGTCCGATAAGCTAAACACATTTTATTGGCCAAGTACTTGTGTGTTCTGTTTATTGGTTGTTTATCCAATTTTTACAGATAGGACCTTACTATTTTTAAACCCACCTCCCAGGAGTTGCTTTTAGGCTATTACCTAAACTGGCCCCAAAGGTGAAGAGATACTCTCTCTGTATGGTCACGCACTGAAGCCAAGCAGGGCTGTGCCTGGTCAGTTCCTGAATGGGAGACTACATAGGAAAGCTAGGTTGCTGCTGGAAGTGGTGTTAGTGAGGCCAGCAGAGGTGCTCAACCTGTGGTCTGTGTAGGTCGTAACGCCCCAATATAGTGAAGGGGACTCTATACTTCTCAGTGAGTGCTGTCTTTGGGATGAGACGTTAAACCAAGGTCCTGACTCTCTGTGGTTGTTAAAAATCCCAGGATTCATACCCCAGGCAAATTCTGACTAAAAGTCACTTTTTTTCAACCAAAAATCAACAATCCAAAACACACAGCAAAAGTGTTGAAGAAATGGTTCACAGACAAAAACATTAACATTTTGTTATGGCCCATCTGTAGAGGGAGCTTCTGTAAATATCAGGTTGACTGCAAGGAGAAAGTCCAACGTGAAAGAGCTGGAACGTGAACGTGAAACATACCATTAATGACCTGCAAAATCTAGTCAGCAATTATATAGGGAGATTATAGAGAAGGGCATGAATTATTTTGGTTATTCAACTGTTTTTTCATGTTACGGTCCGTGGGAGTTTGGATTTTTCACTCTCTCTTTCTCCTTGTCTGTCATTCGCTGTTTGTCTCACCCCATCACCTTTTGATCTTCTATTTCTTCCTTCTCAGGCATTTGCTGATTAGATCCCGAGCCTGTCACTCCTCATAAGGGTGTTTTCTCGTTCACCAATAAGGCTTTGTCCCTCAGACTTTAAATTTGACCGGCATGCCTTGTTTGATCAGTGCTGTGTTTGTTTGTGCTGTGTACGCTCCCTTGTGTTTTTGTATTAGGGTTTGATCCTCGTCTCTTTAAACTAATCCAAATAACTGTAAATCCGATATGGTTTTAAAGTTCATCATTCCGTTTAGGGGAAAAAATATAAAGTTAACAAATCGCGTGACATACAGTTTGCTTGTAGTTATTCAAAGTGTTCAGAAACATTAGGTAAGTGGGTGTATTTCTCCGCTTTTTTGCATTTCTGTTAATTCTATTAGAGAGTATACTAAACATAATAGTTTTAATAACTCATTTCAAATAACTGATTTATTTTATCTTTGCCATGATGACAGCAAATAATATTCAACTAGATATTTTTCAAAGACACTTCTTTACAGCTTAAAGTCATATCCAAAAGCCTAACTAGGTTAATTACTTTAACTAGGCAGGATAGGGTAATTAGGCAAGTTATTGTATAACGATAGTTTGTTCTGTAGATTATCGAAAAAAATATATAGCTTAAAGGGGTTAATAATTTTGTTAAAAAATTCAAACTGCTTTTACTTTAGCCAAAATAAAAAAAATAAGACTTTCTCAAGAAGAAAAAATATTATAAGACATACTGTGAAAATGTCCTTGCTCTGTTGAACATCATTTGAAAAAGAAAAAACAATTCAAAGGGGGTTTAATAATTTAGATTACCACTGTATATCTAATTTAATATTATATTGTACAGAAATAACATTATCAAAATAAACATAACAGCAATATTTCATATCTTCCCAATATTGTGCAGAAATAATTTTCTCCTGACACACTACAGCAGAAATAACTGACTTTAATCATTTTTAGTTAAAAAAATACTAGTGTTCAAATAATTATGGCCACCACAGTAATGCAAGCAAACATAAACACTCCTTACCTCTGTTGGAGGAATCCCAAAGGCCTCTCCTATCTTAGCATAAAGCTCACGCACGTTACTGAAGCCCTCGATACGTCCTGTGGGGCTGCCGTGAGCCAGCTGTGTGTGGAAGATCAGTCGTGGGCGCAGACTGGTGGGTGGAGGTGGTAAACCCTCATGGGCAGCTCCTTCACCCAAGCCAACCCTGCCACCATCCAGACCATCCAACCCTGAGACGTTCAGTCCAGCCCGGATGGGTTCAGCCTCCTCGTTCTCCACCAGCGGAGACGCCTTCTTTCTGCGTCCCAATCCAAGTGGCATTTTTGGGCACTGCTGTCTTTAATGCAAAAGGTGTGTGCACAAGCTTTAATACCGTTCTTTATGTTCCCAAATCGAAGGAGAAATCTCTGCAATTCAACCCATTCAAATCTCCAGATCTATAATGCAAACAGAAACAGACTTTGATGAAAAAGTTTTAAAAATATTTTTTCGATATAAGAAAAAAAATTGAGGTAAAGTTGGTTTTATATTCACACATTCTGCCATTTTAACGGTCTGTATATTGTTTACTACACTAACTTGAATATTCAGCACATATATAATACGCAATAGCACTATTTAATTGACTGTGAACAATGTTGTACTTTGAGAGTCATTGGCTGATAATATAATTTCCCTATTTAGAATTTGCAAATAATACTTTTCTGAAATTATATCAAGGACGTCTGAATGTGTGAATATAAAAACTAAAAACGACATTTGAAAGAGATAATTGCAACTTTTAATTTATAAGTGTAACTTCTAAGTAATGCAAGCGTATATGTTACAACAGCAAATGTTTGAGTATTTTTGAGTATTTTTAAAGCACTGTAAAATACTTGCTTACACAAAGAAATAAAGAAACGCTTTCGATATTTTGGCAAAAATTAAATTTTTTTTCATGGCAAGGTTGACATATGCATGGAATTGCTTGTGTGCGTGTGAAACGTAGCTTGGAGGCCACTCCATTGAAAGTGCATAGATGGCGCTGTCGAGCCATTTTGCCACACCCACTTCTGAAACCTATAACAAATGTACATTTTCCCCACTTCTGGACCACGTGCAAAGTTTAGTGAGTTTTCGAGCATTTTAAAACTTCAAAAATCATTCTACAGAAAAAGAATACTAAGAATAATAAGAAGAATAAACAGAGCAATCCCAATACGGCCTACACACTTTTAGCACTATTTATTTGACAGTGAACAATGTTGTACTTTGATAGTCGTTGGCTGCTAATACGATTTCACTATTTAGATTTTGCAAAGAATTCTTTTCAGAAATTATATTAAGTCAGAATTTGAGATGTATAATTAACCGGTTTCACTTCTGTGCTTTAATTTGTCACGGTTAATTATTGGTAAAGGCTTCTTAACACTGTTTCTGCACGAAACTGCAGCAAAACTGCAGCAACTAAACAAAGTTATGCCAACTGTGCGCTAGTTTGTACACCGAGACTAATAACCACGCACATTAGATTAACTATGACTAAGGCAAGCTTGTGCAAGTTCATTATTTCCAATGGAGGGACGCGCACGTGATGCAACGAGTCCACACACTTTTTAGGCACACTAGTTTAGATAGGGGATTTTGTGACAGCGGGAATTGCAAACGGCAGAAGTTTGAGGAAGAAGCAATGAAAAGTACACCGGTTTGCAACCCCACTTAAAGTTACAAATATTAACGCCGATGAGAGCGATCATGTGGTGATATGATTCACCAGGCAAGATCAATCCATTGATTTCAGAGAAAGTGCAGAAAGTCGGTCAGCTGTTTAATGGCCCGAATCTCGTTGCACTGCATTCACTGCGTTCAGTGCAAATGGACGATGAATGTAAAATGTAACAGTGTAGATCTTTGCCAAAGAAGCTCGACTTTACCAAGTTTAAACTGAACCTTCGGCTCATGACAACGGTATTGTGCCGATGGTCATCTCAAAAATCCACAAACACAAAGAAATGTAAATCATAGCATAACAAGACTGAGCATTTACAATGACACATACCAAAACCAAAACCTTTAAAGAGTGGCGAAGTAAGACTTCTCTTCCTTTCTTTTGTCAGTTTTTTCTGGTTATTATATTGACATGGGTATAAAAACAATAGTGCAAAATCTTTATTTCTTACTGCAATGCTTCATTTTTGTTTGATGCAAACCATAAATTTATTTGTCATAATGTAATAGTTGGACTTTTTATAGCAGATAACTCGCATTCAAGCAAAGCGGCATGATAATGTTATTCATTGTTAGTATTATTGTCATCATCATTATAATATTGTATAATTATTAGACAATAATGTAGCAATTATTGCACAAATATCAATAGGTTATAACAGAATTATTTAAGTCGTTTCTGGTTTTTGTTAGTCCTGATTTATATTGTTTTCACATACAATAAATCTGCTAATATACAATTTGCAGTAGTGCTCATTCATTTTTGGTGGGTGCTTCTAAACTTTTTATGGTGCACCTAAAATATTTGAAGTTGGAAGCAACGGTGCTACCAGGTAAATAGTTAATTTCAAGCCCTGCTTTAGACAAATATTTTTTTTATTATTATTTATTCATTGTTCTATCGTTTATTTACAGTGTAAAAATAGTTTAAATGTTAAACAATTTACTTATTTTTAGCACAGAGAGAAATTGACTATTGTTTTTTAATATTATTTTGTGCTAGTTAATTAATTTCTGAGCAGCTATAAATAACTCTTTAAAATATAAGGTGTTTTCATGTGATTTTCTAAACTAGTGGTGTTTAGAAATTAATGAATGCATAATAATTATGATAACCGTGAAACCGTGATTATTTCTTAGACTATAATCGTATAACAAAAACCTATAATCACTGCATCCCTAGTCAGAATGTGTGAACATAAAACCAACTTTACCTCAATACCCAAGTTTGGCTGATTCCTAGTGATTCACTTTTGTTCTCACAACTCTGAATTTACTTTATATCTTGCAAGATATTGACTATTTTCTTAGAAGTGCTAAAGGCACAGTTATAAACGCAGCATTGATTATAAACTCAGAAGCTAATAGAGTCAGAATTTTAAGAAAAACTGACATTTATAACAAATTTACAATTCACAAGCTTCAACATATGAGGTTATTATAGCGTAAATTTATTACACACCAGCCTCATGCAAACAAATACAAGAATCAGTTAATCAGCAAAAATGTTAAAAAATATTTTTTTTCAAAGATTATTTTAAAAATGATACATTATAGGTCCATAAAACTTTTATTTATTTTATTTCAATAAAGAATCCATATATGCTATCAATATATTTACATTTATATGAGATCCCTGTCACCTTTTTATCAAGCATTAATCACAAAAGAAACATTTGTTCATACAAGCAAAAACAAAACACTATATAATATAACCCTAAAATGAAATTTGTGTGGCTTTTAGGTAATAAAGTAGAAATAATGCAAAAATTTCCATACATCTAATAACTAATTATGGCTCTGTCTTGTTTATTGATATACCGTTACATTAGTCATCCTTCAAACAAACCTCGAACTAGTAAACAACAACCTCACTAACTGATGAATTCAACTCAAATACTTAAACTCGCCATTGAAAAAGTGCTTTCGTGAGTTAAAAGTTTAAGGGTTAAAGCATCCTGGGATTCTATTCATAGACTCAAGCTAAGGTTAGCACGTTAGCATCCTGTAGACATCACGACACTTACCAAACTAACACTGGCAAGGAGAAAACCATGAACCGCTGGACGCCGAGCTTATAGTAAGTTCATTACAGGGGATGATTGTTGAGGAGTGTTAATGCAGGAGTTTAGGGAGTGTTGTAGTGTGTGCGAGGAGGGCGGACATCACATCACTCAACAGAACACACACTTCTTCCTCTATTGACACACTGAACAGCAGCGCAGCTCAAACACACGCGCGCCCGCTGCTGCCGCCTACAGCACAGAAGACATTACAAACTTTACAATGTGATAAAACTCACCTTCATTCATTCCTTTTCCTTTGGCTTAATCCCTTTATTTATCAGGGGTCGCCACAGCCAACTTATCCACATATGTTTTACACACCAGATGGCCTTCCAGCTGCAACCCAGTCTTGGAAAACATTCTTACACTCTCATATACACCATGGCCAATTTAGTCTATTCAATTTACCTATAGCGCATGTCTTTGGACTTGTGAGGGAAACCGGAGGACTGGAGAAAACCCAGGCAAACACAGGGAGAACATGCAAACTCCACACAGAAATGCCAACTAATCCAGCCTGGACTCGAACCAGCGACCTTCTTGCTGTGAGGCAATGGTGCTGGCCACCGTCTCACCCTAAAACTTATTATTTTTACAAATGTATATATCTTATCATTAAAACTTGGCTAAATTAAGCAAAATTAGTTCTTGTTTATGCATAAAAGACAATTAACAAAATATTGATCAACTATTTCATATAATTTGCATATTATTTGTGCTGCTGTCTGCAATAGATATCACAAAATAGCTCAGCTCTTTTTTGTACAATTTTAGGTTAGTTTGAAATGAAAATTGCTTGATCAGACTACATAACTTAGTTCACAAATACAGGAGATTGCAATGGGATTTAAATCAATAAAAACGTTCCCCCATTTTGTGTCCCCTAACACACACTTTTCAAACCAGTTACACCCTTAATGACAACATAACTAGTTTACGTATAGTAAGAAATTTTTAATAATTCATATGCTTTTAATTTTGTAAAAAAAACAAACTAGTTATAGGAAGTACTATTTTAAAAGGAACAATTGATAGTTAAATTTGATACTTATAAATAATTAACAATTTGATTAATGTTCAGTTTACCCACTGGCTCAGATGAACTACTCTCTCTCTCTCTCTCTCTCTCTCTCTCTATATATATATATATATATATATATGTGTGTGTGTGTGTATATATATATATATATATATATATATATATATATATATATATATATATATATATATATATATATATATATATATATATATATGTGTGTGTTTTGCCTGTAACATCACACAACGGTCTCTCACCCTTCACCTTATTGTATTATTCCGCCCACATAGTCAGCAAAGAGCAGAGACTAGTTTGACAAACATTGCTGTTGTTAGAAAACAAATTTTACTTTTGAGGCTATTTTAGTCGAGAATGTAGTTGTTTAGATTGCAACTATGCACTTTATTTATAGTGCCTATTTTAACATATTTACAATTTCTATTAGCCTGCCATAGTGTAGTAGACCAAAGACAGTTGACGTTGTCTATCCACAAGATAGCGCCAGGACCGCATAATAAGTCCTTGCTTGGCTTAAAACCTATATTTTACAGTTTATGATTAAAACAGTTGTGTTTTCTTGAGCGCAAAGCTGAAAAACGGAAGCCTCACGGTTTTTAAGGTGGACCGGATAGTCAATATAAGCTGCGAAAAAGAAGCTGGATTCAGCGTCGTCCCTCCTTATCGCACACAGAGAAACACTGTAGACTGTAATATAGACTGTAGAGAGATATCTCTGTAGACAGACGGCCTTTCATGTCACGTTTAGCCTTATAATCTTAAAATGTGAGCAAAACCAGTTGTTTTGTGATCACTAGACATTCTGCTAACGGCTTCTGCTGTTCTGAAGTCAGCTGCAGATGTGAATGAAGGGCAAAAGAAAGTAGTTCCTAATACAAAAGGGTTTTAGACTCTGTGTTTAATTTTCTTTTTTTATATACAAGATTGTCCTGTCGAACCCTGCATTTTTTACAGTGCTAATAATTCAGGCTATGGCTAATCATTTTGACTTCAACTGTATCAGAATTTTTAGCCCCCCTGTTTACTTTTTCCCCTGAACAGAGATTTTTTTCAACACATTTCTAAACATAAAAGTTTTAATAACTCATCTCTAATAACTGTTTTATTTTATCTTTGCCATGATGACAGACAATAAATAATATTTTACTAGATATTTTTCAAAACACTTGCTTTACAGCTTAAAGTGACATTTAAAGGCAACTAGGTTAATTAGGCTAACTAGGCAGGTTAGGGTAATATTGCAAGTTTTTGTATAAGAATGGTTTGTTCTGTAGACTATCGAAAACTCTATAGTTTAAAGGGGCTAATAATATTGACCTTAAAATGGATTTTAAAAAATTTAAAACTGCTTTTATTTTTGTAGAAGTAAAACAAATAGGACTTTCTGCAAAAGATAAAATATTTTACATACTGTAATATTTCACATACTGTGAAAATTTTCTCGCTCTGTTAAAAATATTTGGGAAATAATTTAAAAAGAAGAAAAAAGTGACTGACTTCAAGTGTATGTAAATTGATTGGTTGTTCAAACTGCTTGTTTAAAATGAGCTGTATCAACACAATTCACAATTCTGGGGGGGGGGGGTGCAACTTAATTGTTTTATGTTCCATTGACTTAAATTGTAAAAAAAAATATATATATATTAATTAATTAAAATAAGGTTAGCTGAATTGGTTTGTGTCGGCAAAACATGGTGTTTTCCCTAATGAGTGATGTTTTAAGGAAGCTACATCATCCCCAAAAATGGGTTTGCTAGTATGCATTATTGAAGAAAAATGTGTGATAAATATTATCATAAATAATATAACAAAGTAAATATAACGACATGACACGGTGGCTCAGGGGTTAGCACTAGCACCTCACAGCAAAAAGGTCGCTGGTTTAAGTTCTGGCTGGATCAGTTGGAGTTTGCATGTTCTCCCTGTGTTTGCATGGGTTTCCTTTGGGTACTCTAGTTTCCCACACAGTCCAAAGACATGCTCTATAGGTGAACTGAATAAACCAAATTGGCTGTATGAGCGTGTGAATGAGGGTGTATGGATGTTTCCCAGTAAAGGGTTGCAGTTGGAAGGGCATCCCCTCTGTAAAACTTACCAAATGTTGGATAAGTTGGCGGTTCATTCTGCCTTGGCGATCCATGAATAAAGGGACTAAGCCGATGGAAAATTAATGGATGAATTTAACTTAATAGTTTTGTGTTGAGACAACATAAAGGTTTAACTAATGCTGGTGTTTTCCCCAACGAAAGACGTTTTAAAGAAGCTACATCACCACCTAAACCCAACCGTCTTTGGGGGAAGAGCAAATCGTACTAAAATGTAAGAATTAGATCGTACGAATTCACACGAACTAGCCACTAAATGAAAAAGTTACAAATTGCCGTGAGATTGACTCAATCATTAAACACAAATAGGCACATTTTGATATACTGCGCAACCCTTTGCCTTTACATTTTACATATCATTCCATTGTTTTGGGGCCATATGGTGGCACAGTGGGCAGTGCTGTTGCCTCACCAGCTGGGTCAGTTGGCATTTCTGAGTGGAGTTTGAATGTTCTCCCCATGTTCAAGTGGGTTTCCACAGTGCTCCGGTTTCCCCCATGGTCCAAAGATATGCAGTGAACTGGGTGAGCTAAATTGGCCGTATTGTATGTGTGTGTGCATGTGACGTGTATTGGTGTTTCTCAGTGCTGGGTTGTGGCTGGAAGGGCATCTGCAGCGCAATAACATATGCTGGTTAAGTTAACAGTTTATTCCACTGTGATTAATAAAAGGGACTACACCGAAAAGAAAATGAACTTTACTGTTTTTTATTCAGTAGGTAGGTTAGTATGGTGGTTGTTCTTTATTTAGTATCAGATGTAGGCTATTGACTAAAATGTTTCTTACAAACCCAAATCAGAAAAAGTTCTGTGATGGCACTATTAATGCTGAAAAGTACAGAGACTTTAGAGCACAATTTGCTGCCTTCTTTTTTAGGGACAACCAAGCATATTTCAACAAGACAATGCAAACCACATTCTGCACACATTACAAAGTCCTGACTGTGAAGGAAGAGGATACAGGTTTGACTGGCCTGCCTGCATTCCCCACCTGTCTGCAATAAAGAATGTGTAAAATGTGAAAAATAACGAGGAACACGCAATGGAATACAAGTCAAAGTAAATTCACAAATAACTTCCTCCTTTTTTTATTCACATTTTCCACACTGTCCTGTCTTTTTCTGATTTGTGGTTGTAGTCAAAAAAAGGGTTATTAAAATATGTATTTTAATTTGGTTTAACAGAATTAAATAATGGGGGTTTGGCAAACGTTCAGTACGATGGTCAGTTGATCCTTGATCACTTCTGCTGTTTGTTCAAACTGCTTAAAATGCGCTGTACCAACATTTCTGAAGTTTTATTTTAATTGTTTTAAATAAACCTAATTGCTTACTCCCTTTATTATTCCGGGGTCGCCACAGTGGAATGAACCACCAACTTATCCAGCACATTTTTACACAACGGATGCCCTTCCAGCCATAACCCATCTCTGGGAAACATCCACACACCCACATTTACACTCATACACTACGGACAATTTAGCCTACCCAATTCACCTGTACCACATGTCTTTGGACTGTGGGGGAAACCGGAGCACCCGGAGGGTGTTTTATAATTCAATCTACTTAAATGTGTAAAAAAAACAACAAAAAAATTAAGTTAACTTAATCAGTTTGTTTTGCCAGTGATGGGTTGCAGCTGGAAGGGCATCCGGTAAGTTGGCGGTTCATTCCGCTGTGGCAACCCTAAATTAATAAAAGACTAAGTCGAAAAGAAAATGAATGAATAATCAATTTATGTCAGGACAACATTAAGGAGTTGTGTGGATCCCAGCTTTTTTATGGCGTACTGGTTTATTTATGTTTTTTATAATAATCCATATTTTGTCATATACATGAACATCATTTCAATTGAATTTAAAGTCTCCATGAACCAGAAGTTGCAACCATTATTTTTTTCATATTATGATGCAGTTCCTAAAGAAACGAATCATTAAATGAGCAAATGGTGGGCATGGCTTGTTTTTTTCCACTGT